GGACTCCTGAAACCAAAGTCTATGGGTATTTAAGCTTTTGGTCAAACAATAGCATAAAGACTTCCTTGGGTCTCTGTCTCTGATCTGTCTGTCTGTCTGTCTCCCTTTCTTTTAACATTTTGTCCCTTGTACAGCATTGGAACTGGCACATCTTGGTTATATGCTGCCACTGAAATGGAAGTGGATAGAGTCTCCCCCACCGCCCCCAAGGACTGAGAGTAGAAAGAAAGTTCTCAAAGGTGTTGTTATCCAATTAAGGGAAGATGAATGCTTGCTAGGTTAAGAAAAACTCTCTTATACTTGAAAGCTAAAACAATGTCTGCAACTGGGCTCCTTTACTCCCTGGTGCTCACTGCGCAATGGCTACCAAAGCAGCCTCCTTGGTAGTGTGTGCAGCCTGTTGCTGTTATGTGCTGCCCTAAGGCACCTTCAAGACCACTCTTAAATGAAACCTGCATGTCTTGGATCTCAGGCTGTTCCCAGTCTAGACTCCAGACAGGAATGGCAGTTGCCTTAGGGAAGCCCCAGGGCACAATGGCTGATTCACTCTGGCCATATCACTGTGTCTGTCAGCACCAAGCTCCAGAGTCAGGAACATGTGATCAAGGCCCTATTCAGGGGCGGGGGCACATTCAGGTTCTCTGGCTACCAGAAAAGCTGCATCTCAGAGAAGTGGGGGCTTTACCAAGTTCAGTGCAGACAAACATGATAATATGGTGGGTGACAAGTGGCTTTTCCCCAATGGCTACAGGGTCAAATACATCCCTGTTGTGATCTTCTGAGCAATGTTGGGGTCTGTATTTGAGAAGGTATCTACCATGCTGCCTTCCAGAAAGGAATGTCATTTCTGCCTGGTCTCAGACTCTGTGTATCTCGGCTGGGAATGTGTACTTTATTTATTTCAATGTCAACACTGCCACTAATGCTAGGTTGCAGGAATTTGTTAGTTCAAGTATTTGTTGAATACCCTACCAGAAGTAAATCTACCTCTGTCTACCTAAAATAACAACAATAATACAAAACACATTAAAAATTTTATGTATTTTGCCTGCAAGTATGCAAGTGCATCATGTATTTGAAATGCCCACAGAGACCAGAACAGGGTGTTAGATCCCCAGGAACTGGAGTTACCTGGTTCCTCTGCAAGAGCAGAAAATGCTCTTAACTACTGAGTCATTTCTTCAGACCCAAAAGACTATTTTAGCTTTAAAAAATAGTTGATAAGGGCTGGATAGATGGCTTAGCTGTTAAGAACACTGACTGTTCTTACAGAAGACCTGGATTTAAATCCCAGCACCCATATGGCAGCTAACAACTGTCTGTAACTCCAGTTCCAGAGGATCTGACACCCTCTTCTGTCTCCGTGGGCACTGCACGACACGGGTGCACTTACACACATGCAGACATAACATTCATACACATAAAATAAATTTTTAAACACATTGCTAAATCTAAGTTCAAACTCCCATTGAAAGGTGAGATGAAAACAGCTTTCTACTCTACCTCAAGATGGCGAAATAAAAAAAGAAAATGAGCAGGTCCAGTGGCACAGACCTGTTATACCAGCTGTTTGGGAGACTGAGGCAGGAGGAACATAACTTCAGGACCATCCTGGGCAACTTAGTGAGACCCTGTCTCAAATTTAAAAGTAAAACGGAGAATGCTGGATACATAATTCAGTCAGAGCACTTTCCTAGCATTTGAGCAGCTCTGTTTTCAATCCTCCCAGAACTGGGAAAAAAAAAAGAAAGAAAAAGGGTAGAGTAAAATATTCATTTAAAAACAAGTAAAATAAAAATCCCCAGGAGTTCAGACTGTTCTGAAGTTGCTGTGTGTGCTTTTGGAACCTATTGTTACATTGGGAAAAAACTTCCTCTAGCGCTGGGGAGGCTCAGTCCCTCCTTTGCCTCCCTTGTCTGTTATCTTCCCCCTGGGGACCTGAAGGGCAGGGGAGGGCACATGACCAGTTAGAAAGGAATGTCATTTCTGTCTGGTCTCAGACTCTGCGTATCTCAGCTGGGAATGTGTACTTTATTCATTTCAATGTTAACATTGCCAATAATGCTAGGTTGCAGGAATTTGTTAGTTCAAGTATTTGTTGAATGCTAATCCCTTATATACGCCTCCCCCCCACCATCTGTTTCTTTTGAAGAGCTTTTCCAGTCAATAGCTAAACATCTCCAAGGATCTCTCATCTTGGAAAGCAAACAAAGAAAATACCCCAAGCAAAACTTAATTTTGATCTCATTCCGTTTGTAGCTACCATCCGTTTAGTCAATGGTCACACATTGAATGTGCTTCTTAATGTATTTCCTCCCTCTTTCTCACCCCTCACAGGAACAAAGGGGCTTATGGGAAGAGCAGCAGTTTTTGAGAACATAAACTCCTGTACAGGGCTGCGTTGCCACATTTGGACTCTATAGTGATTGTGTGATGTCTGTCTTGACAACTGGGATGTAGGCTCCTGGGGACAGCTGTAGTCAGTCACTCAGTGACTAATACATGGAGGACCTTAAACCTCTGGTAGTCTGGATGCAGAGTTCGGCTCTTATATCTAGTGACCTGTTCCTCGCCTGCCAAACACACATTCTACATACAGTGGCATTGCATGTTTCATAGAACTTAGTTACAATGATGAGGTCACTGTTGAAAGTTATATGTCTACTTAAGCATGAATGTGTTAAAAAAATCTTTGCCGAAGTAATGAATTAACCACAATTGGAAACAAAAAGAGAAGGGACAGATTTGAAGGTGGAGATAACAAGTAAAGTTCTAAGTGTTGTCAGCAAAAGTCAAAAATGTAGGAGCCGGGTGTGGTGGCGCATGCCTTTAATCCCAGCACTCAGAGGCAGAGGTAGACAGATCTCTGAGCGTTGGAGGCCAGCCTGGTCTCCATAGTGAATCCAGGCCTGCAGAGGCTACAGGGAGACCCTGCCTCAAAAGGCCTCCCCCCACCCCAAAGCAGACTACTGTTAAAAGCAAGGTAGAAACTAGCTTCAACAAGAGCAGAACAGAACAATGTTCAGAGCCATGGGAAAGCCTATCACCTTCTCAAATGGGACATTACAGGATTGCTTGATTTGACAGACAACTAGGAACTCTTTCTTGGGGAGCTAGGGTGTTTTCATTGGAATTCTATCAGACTACACACTGTGAAGGAACAGTCATTTGTACCACTAACTTAGATGGCTAGCCAACAGTGACAGAACTTTCGGGAGGTGGACAATTCTGTCTGCCTGCCTCTGAATTCCACACCTTAAATTAAACCAGCACATCTTATCCCTATGGCTAAAGATCTCTAGTAGACCAGGCTGGCCTTGAACTCACAGAGATCCACCTGCCTTTGCCTCCCGAGTGCTGAGATCAAAGGTGTGGGCCACCACACCCGGCAGAATAAGGGTTCTTAAACACAGGCTTTAAATCTCTCACTCAAATGTCCCAGATCATGAAGATTCAAAACGTGAGGTGACAAGTGGAAATGGCAGGTAACTGTGCCCTACTGATTATGCATTTATGTAGGTAGGCATCTATTATCTTTCAACAGGGTCCTACTATGTAGTCTACAGTAACTTTAAACTCCAGATCCCCTGCTTCAGCCTCCTGAGAGCTGGAATTCCAGGCCTGTGCTGCCACACTGGGCTATTGTCTGATTTTCAAGCATTCTAGAACATCTGAGTTTGTTCTTTCCTAGCCTGGTTTATTACATTCTTCACACTATCCTTGGGAAAGCACAGCTTTTAGTCCTTATGTGGTCCTGCCTTGAGTTTTCCCATGGGGGTTCTGAGCCCCATAAATTGATGGGAACTGGGGGAGGACCTTAGAGATGCTTGATAGGCAAAACTGAGTTCCTCTCTTGTAACCAACCAGTGTCCTTTTCTATACCCCAAACACACTCATTCCACTGAATGTTTCTCAGGACCTAGGGAGCTGAATTCTAAAGGTGAATGGGGATAAGCAAAGTCCAGAACATTCCTAATTCAATGGCATACAGATTGTCACATATCTAATTCATGAAGTTTATTTTTCTGTCTCTTAATCTAATCGCTTTTCTTGAAAAGATGCCTGGGCCAATGCCAACACTGGAGGAAGGAATATCCCCAGGGCCAGGATCTGGAAATGATCAGTTCCGTATGGTTTTAGGGACAAAGTGCCAAGATCTTAAGGAGACTTAATTCCTGGAGAGCAGTCAGGTTCTTTTTTTAAACCACCACAGCAGTATTCCCACTGTGTAGAAAAATCCAGAAGACTAAAAAGTTGGTAGATTGCTAAAGCACTTGCCTAGCATGCAGGATGCTGTAGGTTCGATCTTCAGCGCACCATGGAAACATCCAAAACAACAACAAACCATCTGGACTTAGTAGTACACGCCTAAAGCTGAGGCAGGTGAATCGCTATGAGTGTGGTCCAGGTGACTTTGATGTCGGCCTAAGCTACGTAGGGAGTTCCGGGCCAGCCTGGATTTCAGAGCGAGACACTGTCCCAACCTCTCCCGCCACCAAAGAACATCTATTAGGGAAAAAAGTCAACTTAGAGCGAACCCATCACAAACTTCATTTCTAAAGAAAGGGCCGCCTGCACAGCACACACAGCAGCAGCCAGCGGGTACACGCAGCTGGCGTCCGCAGGTCCACGGCTCCGCGAGCATCCCTGGGCGGGGCGGCCACCCGGCAGCGCTCACTCCATCCCCACGGCGTCCGGAGCGAGAGCCGGCGCCCCTCCTCCAGTCCTGGGGTCCGTGGGGCCCTGGCGCTGCTGCGGTGGCAGGAAGTCCCCGCGAACTACAAATCGAGGCATGCTGGGAACACTCCCCCGCTCCTCCCAGGAAATGTCCTTTGTCCAGCCCCACAGGAAGCCCCAGCGAGGAGTCAGCGGGCAGCCAGCCCGGGTGCCAGCGTGCCGGCCAGCCCGCGGCCGCAGCAGCCGCACCGGGCAGACGTGCTGGGCGCCGGGCTCAGGCTGTGCGCTCTGGGCGGTGCAGCAGCCTTGCAGGTAGGCGCGTCCAGCGCTGGGATGGGGAGCCGGGGAGCCGCGGAGCCCCGGAGCCGGGGAGCCCGGGAGCCGAGCTGACCACCGCGGGGATGGGTGTGTGCCTGCCCGCCGGGGCTCATCCGCTGGGCGAAGCTGTGCCCCGCACACTGGACCGTCGTCCGTCACCCCATGGGCGCAGGGTCCCCGGACGCATGGAGTGCCCTCGCACCCCCAAAGCCAGGGATGAGCACCTCTTGGGCTTCTGTGGCGAGGGGCGGGGAGGAGGAGGAGGAGGCTGAGACAGCGCTTCAAGAACGAATCGGACCGTCCCGCCGACCACCGAAAGGGGCATCAGAGACCCCCGGAAACCAAGCCCAGGGAGGGGCTTGCAAGGCGAGAAGGTGAAGGGCTTTGTGTGCAGCGGTGCACCAGCTCGGATCGCGCTCCCCTTGCCTTGAGTCTGTCCGCGCCCCTAACCCCACTGCGGGGAAAAGGTGGGGACTTTGAGGAGGGCAAGCAGGTCACTTTGGGCTCACCACACCATTCTGCCCCACTCTGAGGAACGTTTTGGGTTCGCGAGATAGGACTGGGCAAAAGACACAATAATAAGAACCCGCGGATGCAGGGCTGGGCGAGGCGGCAGCTCTCAGATCAAGAAGGGTCGTTGTCTAGCTCTGTTAAGATTCCCAGCCACAAATGCCCAGGCCGACTGCTTGTGGGCAGGTTGTAGACAGAGCTAGAGCCTGCACCCAGAGGGCTTGTCGAGGCTTCGGTGGCATGGAGTGAGGCACATACTGGGAAGAGAGGGTGCGGGAGTTTGAAGGGAGCAGTGACAAGGGGCCCTTATGTGCACAATGGCCAGGCCTCCAGAATGGGGTTTACCACTTCCTCTGGGACTTTCCATCATTTTCCATTTTGTTAACTACCCCTCCCCCCAGTGAATCACCTACCCCTCCTTAGGAACCCTGGGCTTAATTTAATTTGGTAGTGCTGTATCCCTGCCAGTATCGCTTATTTGGCTTTCTGCATCCCCTACAGTGGGTCTGTTCCCGAGGTGGCTGTGGTAAATACCGTTGGATGCTTGGATGATGGCTAGCAAGTTAATGGTCTCTAAGAGCTGTGGTAGTTGAGGGGGTAACTTTGAACACAGCTCTAGGGTCACTCTTGTAGGAGAATGCACTAGTCTCCTTTCTGCCCTCCCCCTTGTCTCCCACGTGTTTACTCCTTCCCTTGAGGCAACCTGTACCTACCACAAGGTACACTTTAGGGTCAATTGAATGCCTCTTGGGTAGCGAGGGGGGTGGTATACCTAAGGCTCCTGGTCTGAAGGATGCTTTAGGGCACAGAGACATTGGCTTATAGGGGGAAGAATGTTATTCACTGGCATTGGGAGGTTAGAGGAGACATCTGAATTAAGAATGTAATTGTCCAGGCAGAGGATGTGAGCATGGAGGGAAGAGGTTCTCATTTAGGTCTCCAGTTGCACATACTGTGTATCCTTTGTGGGAAAGTTGATGGCCCAAGGGAGAATAAGATAATGTGAGATTGAGCCAAGACAAAGGGAAAGTCGGGCTGCCCCTTAGGTCACACAGGAGAAAAACATAGATGGCCTTCAAAAACAGCTAGAGGAGGCAAGACCTCAGAGGAGGCGAGACATCAGAACATGCAGCGATGCAGCTAGATTGAAGGGATGGAGGGTGACCTCACTGGAGGCAGCATGTCTGAGGCTGATGGATTTGCATAACATTTCCTCTCCCTCTTGCCAAAAGCTCTTTGGATTTCCTCAAGTTCTGCATGTTTGCCTAATTTTTAGTGTCCTGGGTAAGGAAGGAGAAAGTGTAAAAGTTGGTTACCAAGAGGATAAACTAAGACAAGGAAAGAGTGGCTGTGAAGAAAGAAAACAGCCACAGTAGCACTAAGAAGTCTAGGCCTCACTGTGCAGGTGCTTTTGAGGTGTTCTAAGATCCCCCTCCTCCTTGCTTTTCTTCTTTGCCTCTTTAAAAACAAACATTTTATTTATTATTTTTATTTTGTGTGTATGAGTGTATTGCCTGCGCGTGTAGTGTAAGTGCACCTGTGTGGTGCAGTGCCGGAGGAGGTCAGAAGAGGGTGTTGGATCCCCTGAAACTGGAGTTATAGGCAGTTGTTAGTTGCCATGTGGCTGATGGGAATCGAAGCCAGGTCTCGTGCAAGAACAGTCAGTACTTTTAACCTCTGAGCCATCTCTCCAGCCCCTTCTATCTCTTAACAGGTTTCTGAATACCACATAGCATTACTGTTATTATAATCAGTGAAGGTTAGCAACTTTGGCATTCAGAACTCTTCAGGTTCACAATGCCTACCTACTACCTTCTTTTTTTTGTATCTGTGTTATCTGTGGGTCCTTGCAGCAAACAGCTTCCATTGCAGGTTGTAATTCTTGAGCATCTGGTACTCAGAGCCAACCACATGGTTGCCTGCCGCACATTCCTGCACTGCCTTTGATTATTTTTGTCCCAATCCTAGCCAGGTTGACTAACTTAGCTCTTATAGGAGCATTCCCCGAATTCTTAGTTGGAATTAATCTTATCCTCATGGTACTTTGTTTTTTGATGACACCTATCTCAGTCTGCTTTCAATAGCTATTTATCTTTTTTTTTCTTTAAATTGCAAAGCTCTAGAGGACGGTGGCTGTTTCTACCTGATGCTTTATACCCAGCAGAGGCATAAAGGGTGTTTGAGTTGAAGATAAATGAAAGCATGAGTGAAAGAATACATGTGTCTTGTTTAAGACCAAATTTCATGTAGCCCAGGCTGGCCTAAAGCTCACTTACTATGTAGCCAAGGATGACTGAACTTCCAATCTTCCTGCTTGTCTTTGTCCACCTCCTGCATGCTGCTTCTGGGCAGAACTAGGGATCCAATCCAGGACTTGTATACTAGGCAAGCACTTTACCTGCTTTGCTACAGCCCCAGCCCATGTACATCTTATTTTATCTCTTATCGGCTTTCTATAGACAAGTGACAGAGTCTTTCTCATACACTCGTGAGCATTCATTGCAATTGGAAAAATAAAGCCTCTAGTTCAAGGCAGACTGGAGCATTTTCCTTTGTTCCTGGACTCTAAAAGGCCTTGCCACAGTGTCTAGTACAGAGATATTCACAAAAACTGTGTTAACAAGTTTCTTTGCAAACCTGAATTTCAAGCTCTAGCAACATATGGAATGGATTGATCTAAGTTGATAATCAGTGATTTTTATAGTTCTTTACTGAAGAAAGTAATTTTCCTTTCAGTTGTTCAAAGTGCTCCAGAGAAAGTAAGACTGTAAAGACTGTCCTGCTCTTTGCAACCAAGTCACACATCTACGATGTCTCTTTCTTCTTTATAGCCCAAGCAGTCTATGTGGCTTCCAGCATAGCATGTAGAAGTGTAAGATCAAATCCTCAGATTATACTTCCTTCTGGTTTAGTAGTCTCTTAGCTATGTATAACTAGGCAAAACTTGCTTTCTTTTCATGTGATTTATTGCAGTCACCATTTATTAAACACATTATTGAGTACATAAATGGTTATACTAGAAAATTGGGGCTGAGGACATGCATCGGTTAGTCAGTAAAGTGCTTGCCTTGCAGGCACAAGGACCTGAATTCGGTCCCCAGAACCCATGTAAAAAAAAGTTGTGCATGGTGGCATGTATTTGTAATCGCAGCACTCGGGGTGGGATGATCCCTGAGGTTCAGTGGCCAGCCAGCCACGCCTACTTGGTGAGTTTAGGCTGCTAAGAGACCTATCTCAGTGGAAGATGGACACTGCCCAGGATTGTCTGCAGCCTTTGGAGTCATAGGTACACATGTACACATGCATCCCACCCTCAGGCACCCATATGCACACAAATGTGCACATATACATACAAAATAAACTAGAAAATTTATGTGTGTTGCTTTATTTCACCTGAAAACTGACATTATCTCCTTTCTAAAAATAAGGAAACTGAGGTCAGACAGAAGGTAAAGAAGTTGTCTGGTGCCTCCGTAGAGATGCTTCTGTTAACTGCCTAGACTCTCAGAACTGCTTCCTGTGGGAGAAAACTGCCATTTCTGTGTTCCTACTTCCTCTAAAGTCTTCTACTTTTTCAGGATTCTTACCAAGAACCCTGTTGGTTTTCTAGAATCATCCTAGTAGTTCTCATTCTGAGAAGCACAATTTTTCTTTTGCTTAAAATCCATTCTTTTATGCCTTTAATTTCCTATGGCCACAGTTGCAAAGGACCAAGCTGAGGATCCTAAAGGCTGTTGGGTACAGAATTTTCCTTGGAATTCTCTTCTTTTTTCTTCTAACCTGGCTGGATCTTTTCTGTTCTTTCCTCTAGACCAAGTCTTTTACCTTCTGGATAGCTTGGCTTGACCATGCCAGGACATCTTTAGCATTTCTTTGCGTTGCCTAAAATGCCTGGGATTTATTGCCTTCTTAATGAAAGCTTGACCGAGTATGTGATAGGGACTGTGTGTCCAGAACACAACATGTGGTAGACTTTTAGAATTCTCTTAATGATGAATTATTAGTGATGGGTAAAATGCAGACGTGTAGGCACAAAACATTTCCGTATCAACAGTTGGTTTCTATTGTAGAAGAGGAATCAGAAGGAAAGATAATGGTTTTCCTAGTTAATATTCACCTTTCTCATGTGACTGCCAAATCAGTAAGCAGCCTCTGGAGGGTGCAGAGCTGGTAGCTTGCTGGTTTGTGTGCTGTGTCATCACCAGTGCTGAGTGATGGAGGTTAAGGGTTTCAAGTTGTGTGGGTGGGACCACTGCTTCAGGACCTTCTTCCTTGCTGTTATGCCCACCTTCTGCTAAATCCAGGAAAAAAACCCCTTTGTACTGTACACATGGGAAACTCACAGGGGTTCCCTGACTGCCAATAGCAAGGGAAATAAAAAGAGAAAGGCTGGGTTGGGGAGGCGTCTCCAATATTACCTCGAAGAGTGTGGGAAGATTAGCATCTGGGATGGGTTTGGGCTTTACTGTGGATGGAGGATGGTGACAGTGATCAGCAGCCTCTCCTCTTTGGATGGAAGAGGCTGTCAGCTGTCACAAGATTGAACCTATCTGTGAGGTTGTAGTTAAGCCATCCTTGCCTCTGACCTTAAAGCTGTCAGACCTCTGAAAGCTGTGGTGTATACAGAGGGTCCCGTGAGTTGTTAAAAACACATTAATCATTTGAAAGGACAGTTCATAGGATTTCTGTGTCCATTCATGCAAGAAGTCATGTCTCGGGCATTCACAGGTTCATGACTGTGCTCGCTAGGTCAGCTGAGGGCTGGTTCTTGTTCAAGGAGGCATCTTGTTACATGTGGTCTTCTGGGAACTTTATTGGAACCGTACCACAAATTACAAAGCAGAAACCATTCGTTCTGGGTTTT